TTTTATTTAACCGGAGTTTTCATCCATTTGCGGCCCAGAAAATTGAACTTAACGAGTAGCAGAAGCCGAGGAAATTTCATAACTTGTTGAAAAGTTGTCCTATGGAAATGCAGGTTCCATCCAGCACAGATGGAGATTAAAGGGGGGCTCCACTTAAAATGCGAAACATCTGGAAATAGCTGGAAGAGGAATTGATGTCGATTCGTTTTCAGCTAACAAGTTGGTTTAGACAATTTGGAACGGAAAAATCGTCGTTCTTACGCTTACACTGTCCAAGCAAACCACTTCTGAAGATGCAAGCCACTCGTGCTTGCGAAACGTCAGGAAGAAATTTCATTTTACGACGGCCTAAAAACCCACTAGTTTCAAGGAATGGCCTGGAAAGTCTATCTCTGTTGATGAAACTTGATGTTTAAGTTAGTCCGGGAAGTTGAATCGAAGTGCCTGATCCTGCAATTTATTTGATTTGTGTTTAACTAGAACCCAACCTTTTTTATGAGAGCCAATTTAATTGGTTGAGGGATTTAAATGCTTTTCCTGTTTTCTTCTGGGCGAGTTCGGCGACGCCAGAACGCACACAGCAAATTTGTCTATACCTGTCCTTGTCGGTGCGGCCGCACAGCGTAATAAACAAAGCGAGACAAATTGATCGCTCCAGCTGCGTTTCTCTCGCGTCGGAATATGCCTGTTCTTGTCTGCAGCATTGCGTCAAACCGCCAAAGCGTTGCAAGGGCATTGCCGAACTGCCCTGGACCTGATTTTGGTTGCACTTTTAGTATTTTTAAGCTGTTTTAGTTTTTTTGAAAAAAAAATCAGTGTTCACTATTAAACGGATTTTTTTATTAATGAGGCGATTATCACAATTATGACAATTAAAGACTCACCGTTATAATTAAAGTCCAGGAGGAACCAACTCAATAAGAGATAGACTTTGGAGGCCATTCCATGAAACTAATGGGTTTTCAGGGCGTCGTAAAATGGAATTTCTTCCGCACGTTTCGCAAGCACGAGTGGCTTGCATCTTCAGAAGTGGTTTGCTTGAACGCTTACACTGTTCCGATGCGATTCCTCGGGCGC